GGTGGACACCCGTTATTCCATATGCCTGGAAGGCACCATCCATTACATATAATGGTTATTGTAGAAATGTGGAGGAATTCATTATATAATCATTTTCTGAATATCATTATTGTTCATTTCTTGTCTTGCAAAATATCCGTTTATTATTGTCTATTATTGCAGTTCAATACCAGCAAAGGACTCTTATGGAGTCCAAGATGTTGGCTTACTAGGAATATTTATACTGGTGGAGAGTTATTGATATTGATTTTAAGTGTTTTTATCCTGTTCATGTTCCCCCTTTGTGTATATGTTGCTGTGCTCTCCTATCATATTTATTGCTTCAATAAAGGTGTTTATACTTTTTGTATATCATATAGTGGTGCAAGCAGTATTTTCTATAAATGGCTAAGTTGTTGTTTGGTCATAAAGTTATCAGATTTTTCTTTTTTTCTGGATGAAAGATATTCCTGTATGTGTGACCTGCTGATCAAACTACATTGGATTCCCTTTCTTTTTTTTCCCCACTGGCTTTAATAATTTCTAAATCACTGACCAGGAACAAGTTTACAGATCAGGAATTCTGACTTGTTGCTTATATGTTCTGAGTCAATGTGAAGTCAGAGACAGATAGGCAGCTAGCATTTTAGAAAGGTGGTCAGCGAAGTTTTACATTTTAGTTTCCAAAGAGCTAACTTTCCAGTCCTCCTATAATTGTGATTTCAGCAAGTTTGGACATTAGGGCTCTCTGAGTGGCATGCAGTAGATGTAAAGCCAGATCTCCTCTGTCTATCAAATGTTGACTCGGTGGGATAATGGACATGTTTTGAATAATATATTTTTCTTGATTTAGAAAAGGTAGCGGATGTTTTTGATGATCAAGTAGCAGCCAAGTATTTTGTAACATTCTTTTTTGTTAATCATTTTTTAATTTTTGTCCCCTAAGCGTCAATGGCACTGAACCGTAACTTGTGCCCTATTTCAGGGCACTCCATAATCTGAAAAACCAAGTTACCTTAATGAGAGTCAGCCAACAAAGCAATATGTATTGATTACCATGCTGTCAATAGAAGCAAATTCAATCCAGTGTGAAGGATGGCTTTACTGGCCAAATGGAAGATGGGGAAAGTAGGAAGGGGCAGGCCATGGCACAACCATGAGAACTGCAGTCCCTGTTTAATGAAGCACTATTGCTGAAAGGCCGTGAATTATAAGGCCACGGTTTTACTATAAGTCAATCTGTAAACCCAAGTCCAAATTCCAAAACAAGCTGTCAAGATCACTATAAAAATATAATATCACCAATACTGGTGATATAACTATTTCTATGCTCAAATGTAAGCATGAATAATGTTATGGTACCACAATACATAGGAATGCATTTATCAAAACCGGTGCAAACAGAATCTGGATCAGCTGTCCATGGCAACCAATCAGCTTCTACCTTTCATTTTGAAATATTAACTGAACAAACTGAAGAGAGAAGCTGATTGGTTACTGTGGGCAACTGCTCCAGATTCTGTCTGCTACAGTTTTGATAAATTCCCCCCATTCCATCAAAGTAATAAGAGTTAAAAAAAATCTTCGGACAAATGTCTGCGCCAAATGCAACCAATCTGATTTTTTTTTTTGCTGTCCTTCAGTCCCGCAGGGCTGTCAGGTCTGGACTGAAAAATAGCATGCTATTGGGAAGCGGCAGAGCACCCCATGTTGTGTATACAGTGGGTAGAGTAATACAAAATGGTTTGGGCATTATAATTGCTATTAGGCCTGTGTTCAGTGATGATTGTCTATAATTTATTCATGCTGATGAGATTAAATCCATAAAAAGGTTTAATATGACACCACCACTCGCCAAATGCAAGCTATGTTTTACAGAATTATCATCAGTACTCCGCAGAGAGTGCAGAGAAGAGTTCCGTATTTCAAAGATAGGAATATATTTACTGGGAGTTTGAAATATAAGGTTATAGATTGTATTGAGTTTTTACATGTATTTATATGCATCCACATCTCTTATGTATTGTTCTGATATTCATTTTTCTCCCTCCTACAGCAGAGAAGAAAAATGGGCAGGAAAGACGCTTCAGCGACAAGAGTACCAGTCGATCAATATCGTAAACAGATAGGTAGGTTTTTATCAATAATTTAATAGCAATATAGCAGTGTGTCCATATCCTGTGTGCTATTTTGTAGAATTTCTCAACATGCAGAGGAAAAACAATTTAATCTAAACTGTGTCAATCTCCAAATAAGAACTCCTTTAAATGTTTTGCTTCTGTGTTTAGTTTTTAGTAAGCACATTGGGGGGAGTTTATCAAAACTGGATCAGACAAAATCTGAAGCAGTTGCCCATAGCAACCAATCAGCTTCTCTCTTCAGTTTGTCTAGTTAAGATTTGAAAATGAAAGAGAGAAGCTGATTGGTTTCCATGCACAGCTGCTCCAGAATTTGCCTCCTCCAGTTTTGATAAATTCCCTTCACTGTATGTAAGTGGCTCAGCAATTCATTACTGATGGGCAGCTGCTAAACCAACCCTTGCCGACAATCGGTGTTCACATTGTTAAAGATCTGACTGCCATCTATTTCTGTATCCTATGCTAATAATTGTGGAAATCTCAGAAACCCTAACAAACATCCATGATGTTCAGATTGTAATTGTAACAGAGTAAACCACAATCTATTGTACATTTACATGGCCTTCCAAACATATACAGTACATTTAAACAGCCTAAATATCAGCTCTGGCCGTCAAGTCGAATTATGTAGCAAACTGATGCTGGAAATCAGGAAACATTACCACTATACTAAACTAGAGTTCACTCTATCTGCCCTGATTTTGATTTGTTTAAAATTTCTCTTTTAGGCAGGGCTCCTAAAGGTCTTTTAGGGTGGGACTACAGTCTCCTACTATGCAACCCCTCTCCTGAGTAGTACTTTCTGTAGACTGCAACAGGATTTCAGCAATATGAAGAATAATTTATTTCGGAATAATTGGACATGTACATACCCACTGTGTAGAAAAACGAGGCCTACAAAAGCTTGGTGAAACTGGGAACTGTAGACAGTGTTGGCTGAGGATTTGATGTCCGCAGGGCACCATATTCCCCACACCTATCACATATGGTATTTCGGTTTTAGGTTTGATGTTGTAGGACTGAAGACTACAAGCTTCATATATTTGAAATGAAGAAATCTCTGGACAGAAAGGCCAACTTTGGGCGATGATTGTAGTTCAGGATCATGCATCCAGATACAGTACCTAGGCATTTAGTCATTTTAAAGCCTGCCATGGAATTCTAATGCTACAGGTTCTGTAGGCAGTGACACTAAACTCAGGAGTTAAATCTTAAAAATGCATTCAAGTACCTTTAAAAATAAAACTATGGGTTAAGTGTTTTTACCCATAGTTCTCTTTCTGGTCATGGGAGGACATATACTAACCTCCTCACCTCCTGTGACCCAAAGCTCAGTAGCCCGCGATATACTGAGAGTGCCGCAGCCAGCTGGCTCTGTCTATCTAGAAGCAGAGCCAGCTGTGCCCGCTCCCTCCCCCGTTCATTCCTCCTCTTAGCGCTGGAGGGTCGGAGAGGGGAGGAATCCCTGCGGGGAGCGGTGACTGTCAGTCACCGCTCACTGCAGGGTGAGACAATCTGGAAGTGAGCAGATCAGTTGCATGTTTCTGCTCACTTCCCGATCTATAGAGCCGAACCGTGACCGCTTCTTTGTCACAGGTCAGCTCTAACTATGAGGGTGAGTGGAAATCACTCACCTCATAGTTCTATAGTTCCCCCTTAACTATTACAATACTGTACCCTATTTGTGCATCACTCAGCTATAGATCCTCAAATCATCTCTGAATTGGTGCTGACACTGTCCTTCCTTCTGGAGGGTGGCTACTTTTGTTCCCCATGGTCCCTGTGTGTTTTGTAAAGTAGTCAACGCTCCAAGCTCGTTCCTGTGATGGACTATAATCTCATGTTTAGTTTTTTTTACTGATTTGTATTGAAATTGTAGTCCATCACAGGAATAAGCTACATTTTTGTTAATAGTAAAGTTACTTGAATGCATTTTTGAGATTCAGCTCCTGAGTTTAGTGTCACTTTAAACATTGTGTGGCTTCTGTTAGTGCTTGAAGTTAAACTGAACTCAGAAAGTGAAGATTTGTTGTAATAGGGAGCATTTAGAAATGTTAATTGTGCATAAGCAGTACTCTGGAAAGAAATGCCTTTGTAAAATAGCAGTGCACTTTCTGGTATGTGCCTAGGCACTCCTGTTCCCACAGCCTCATAGCTGTATACCTGCAGTGTGAGATGTAAGGCTCTGCTGCCTCTGACTGCTAGTCAAAGCCCAGTTTCTTTCAAATATTTGCCGTCACACCAAGACGCAGGGCAGGACAAGGCATTGCAAGTCAGTAATGGAGATATGTCACTTGCAGGGAAATCACAGACAATACTGGTGACTAGTCTTAATTTTTTGGGCACAGCTTCAGAGTTCACTCTCTCTTTAAAGAAGCAGTTGATCTTATTTCAACAATAGTGTCAGGCTTACCACAGTGTCAGGCTGCGGTAAGCACAGTGTCAGGCTGCGGTAAGCAAAGCATACGCGCACATCAGTAGGACCATACACATACACACAATAGGTTGAACTTAATGGACATATGTCTTTATTCAACCTCAAATACTATGTAACTATGTAATAGGTCTGTTTTGTTATATCATAAAACCTGCTTGTATTTGTAATATTTAAATATATGTTTTCATTCTATCAGTGTGCTGTGTTTCTTGCATAAAGCCCTAAGCACAGTAAAGGTACCTGGCTGCTACAATGTCAGCGGTAAGTATGTGAACAGTTTTAGCCATAGGGCTCTGGAACGCGATACTGTGTACAGGTAGCCTAATGTTACAACAGCCATCCAGAAACTATATGGATGATATTATTTTGTGTGATTACAGATAAGTTTGTCCATCAGTGGCTACCGGCTCATATTTAAAATAACCATGAGGAAATTACACTAGAAACAGATGTCAAAAATAAATTGTAGGAATTGCTTTAGTTTGAAAGTAACTCAAACAATAAAAGATATTCGCTTTAAAGCTAAATAAAAAATGTACATATTTCATTCTTTACTTGACTTGCGAGCTCCATACATGAAAGAGGCTTGTGAAATGCACATTCATGAATATAAAAGGGTTATGCAGTCATTTTTACACATTCAAATCTCTTATTTATGTCACCTGCAGTCTTGCCTAAATCTTCAAACAATCCTCTCCAGGCCGAGAAGAAAACATGAGGCCCCACTAGAGATTTCTATCTGTTCATAGAATTTCTAACTAAATAAAAATCTGCCGAGGCTAGTGTTAAGAGTTGGAAGATGCTCGATAAATAAGGTCAGAAAATGCTAGGTTGACAAAACCGAGAACATTAAATTGGTTTGGGATTTCTTTATAGATCAAGACTTTTCAGTGTTCGCAAGACCACAGATCTAATTAATTTTCTGTTAACTTTTCTGAACTGGCTGCAAAACACATTTAAAGGGAAACAGCATTGTATTTTAAGCAAGCACATACAGTCAATTGGTTTTTTATTTTGATGCTTCACATATGTGTCTAAGACGGACACCTAGTACACTCCCAAATGCATATGGAGCAGGCACCAGACACATAGATGATGATGTGTAGTGTTTTAACAGAAGAACGTACACTGCCTTTGCAGATCTTTGATTCTGAAAATGGTAAGCGCCTGGCTGTCATGCTTTTGCTTTTGGCTTCAATCATTTCATAGTCACTAGCTCACAACATGTATAGAGATAAGAAATACTGACTTTCCATTTTGCACAGGTTTGTTATTGGTCTGTAAATATACAAAGAGGGTCCTCCACTGCAGGCTTCTGTAATCCTTGAACTTCCACTTCAGGTGCTTGCTTCCATGTGGTTCAGTCCAATATTTTATGTGCATACAAGGAAAACAACAGTCGCGCACCAGCACATGGCCCCACAATGAACTTTTTGAACTCCGCCCATCTGTGCTTGTACTTCTGATTGTGTTTCACTACAAAGAGTTTAGCCATATAAGTTTGTCTGAATCTTCTGAGTTCTGATCCGTGAAACATTTAAATCATGTACAAGCAGGCTACCAACATTTTAAGAAGCAAATTTCTCTCATGCTGGAGGAATTTTAAGGTTTTTGCTTTTTCATCATTCCATTTTTGCTTTATCTGTACAGATTTGTAGATTAGGGAGATCTGTGTTTAATGCAAGTAGACACATTCACGGGTTAAAGCTCAACTGAACTTTCAGTTTAAATCATTTAAATATATTCTACGTACATCAAAACAAAAGGTGTTCAATGTTTTGCAGTTTGTTTTCTTTCTAAAGCAGCCACAGCCAGAGTAGAAAAGCCTGCCCGTTAGCCTCTGCAGAGTCGGACCCTTGCTCTCTTTTGGGTAAGCAGATATTTAATTCCGGAGGTCTGACATGCCTCTCACTGAGCCAGGCCTATAGCTCTGCAATGAAAAAAGCTCAAGCTCCCCTCTGACTACAAAGCTAACGGCCTGACACCGCAGGGGGTGTATCAGACCTCTGCAAAAAGATCACTGCTTCCACAGAGAGAGCAAGGGTCCTTCTCTGCAGCATGCTGGCAGGGGGCAGGCTTTCCTTTTTGAAGGTGTGGCTGTTTTGTAATGAAAATACTGTTTTTATTTGACTTGCCCATGATTGGAAATTCTTTGCAAAGCGAAATTTCACAAAGCTAAGGGAAACTTCCACTGCAAAGTGCAAATTCCCATGCAAAGTGAACAGCCGATTTGCCTTTACTTAATCAACCTCATTGATTTGCATACTAACACAGTTGACACCGTTTCCGCAATTGCTTCCATCCATTGGTCAGGGGGACACTGGGTGGTTGCCAGTGGAGCACGCCCTTGCTCCAATACTCAATACTCCCAAGATGATATATGGCTGCACACAGATTATGTCACCAAAACTACTTGATTACAACTCCCATCTATGCAACACAATCCGACCTCTGGTCCGCACCTCTGTGACGTGTTTCACTTTTATGGGCTTGGTCTGACACTACACCTGTAAGGAGTGACACATGGCAGTGAGGAGTGGACTGAAGGCGATTA